ACAATGCCAGCCTCCACCCCTCTGATAGCACAATGCCCGCCCCCACCCCTCTGATAGAACAATGCCCGCCTCCTCCCCTCTGATAGCACAATGCCCGCCTCCACCCCTCTGATAGAACAATGCCCGGCTCCACCCCTCTGATAGAGCAATGCCCGCCTCCGCCCCTCTGATAGAACAATGCCCGCCCCCACCCCTCTGATAGCACAATGCCCGCCTCCACCCCAATATTACATGATTTGTATCCTATTCGGGGTCCATTTATACCAACTTCCGTAATTACCTAAACTCCATCTCCCAGGGCCCGTCTAATTACCCGTTCCCTGTCCCCGGCGACCTCGCTAATAACTTTTCTGGGTACTCCATTGTGGATCTGACGACACATTCAAATTAAAGGCACTTTCTACATTCACACCTGTCGCCAGCTGCAAATTGAGAAATTTTCACATCAGCTGATTAGCTGCGTGGCTCGTCCTCCACAACACACCGTTACTGACGGAGCAAATCCTCATGTCTGCCGTGGTGCTCGGCGCGGCTACAGAGAGTGACAATGATAGAGAAGAAGAAGAAGTGATAAGTTAGTATAGTTACCGCGGCTCTGGAGGATGACTCCCCACCCGGAAGGGGTTGGTGGACTGGTAGTTGGGCGCCAGTGTTTGAGGGACAACCTCCGAGCCTCTGTTCTCCAGACCCCAATCAGAGAGGTCTTGGTTGTGCCGTTCCGACCTTTTGGCATCTTTCTTCCCGGTCACTCTCTCGAACAGGCTCACTTTGTCCTTCTTCTTCCCGTCCCTCCTGCCCTCCGATGTTTTAGAGTGAGTCGCCGTAGCGGTGGAACTGTCCCAGACCTCGGCACGCTCATCGCCGGGAGCCCACTGCCTGGGGAGCGTAGCAAATTTCTGAGGAATGGAGCTGCTGAGAACTCGCTCGGTGGCCGGGTGGCTGGTCCAGTCGCCGCCGGGCTCGCTAGTCTCTGGCTGCCCATCTTTGGATGTGTCTACACTCATCGCTCTTCTGTGAGGTGACTTGAGGCCTCCTACAAGACAGTAATGAATGGTGACATAGGACAGTGGCGGCAACTACCAGCAAGAACCAGAGCAGACTAAACACCCGATCACAGCAAGTCGGGGAATCCAGCCCGAGGAACGAGACCCCCAAGGAGCGTGCAGGCAGGACAATGAAGCCCAGAGCATAGACATGAAAGTCCGCTCAGGGAAGATTCCCCGTGTTAACCACACCCCCATCCCCCCACCCACCCTAGCTAATCACTGCTAACCCTAAGACCTAATCAATGGCCAAAATACTCACCTATATCCATGGTCAGGTGACGTGCCGCAGAGTGCCAGGGTCCTTCTTTGGGTGTCCACATCGCTACCTGGTCTCATGGACACTTCTCATTGGCTGTCCATCAATGAGGTCATCACAGGTCCATCAGTCGTGATGTCACAGCGAGGGGACTGGCCAGTGGCAGGCCTGGACTGCAGTGCTGGATCACCCGCGGAAGAGGTGCCGGTGAGGGACAATGGCGTCAGGTAAGTGAAAAGGGGCTTTGAGGGGCTTTTACTGCAAATTGTGAATGGAGGAGAGGATGAGGAGGATCTTATTTCTGCCCGGAGATCGGCTTTTATGACATCTTAGTCCTTTCTGGTCAATATTCATTCAGGTGGACAAACCTATCAACAGGATTGGTAGCTGTGACCGGTAAAATTGGCATTTTTAAAGGTGCAGTGTACTCGGAAACTATTCCGAACATCTCTGTGTAAGAGACACACGCTGCATCTTCTGTAGTAGCGTGTTACATGTGAACAGAGACTGAGCCCCCCTAATGAATGTTCCTTCCACAGGAACTGCTCTACGAGGCTGAAGAGTATTACAGCCTTACTATGAGGGGTACGCAGGGCAAACTGTCTGTGCTGCACTAACCTATGCGCCACTTCCTGCTTACCCGAGGACCTATCAGCATGGACATCACCTTGGAAGCATTGTAGGGGGGACTTTCTCCTTTCCTTTCTTATGGGCGGGACTCAATATATAATGATATTCTGTATTGGTGGAGCCAGCGGTTGGATCTTTAGTCTCATTTTCTCTGTCTCAGCAGCTCTGTTGGAAAAGCTTGCTGTGCACAGACCTCAATAGCTCAAGCGGAAATGTGAGCACACAAGTGAATATGACAGAGCAGTGACTGAACCCTTCTCAGCTCAGTTTAAGGTTTAAATCAGAGCTTCAATGGGGGCAGCTACTGCTGTCTCTCTAGATAGCCCACGGTGCCCTGGGAATCCTTCATCATAAGAGAAGCTCAGATATCAAAACAACTGCTTAAAACTTACAAAGGAAAAAAATGACCCTGAGATGCACACGGGGAGATCATTCATAGTTACATAGTTACATAGTATTTGAGGTTGAATAAAGACATTAGTCCATCAAGTCCAACCTATTAGGATCTCATTCTAGGAGTACCTGTACCCCTGTATATTACGGTCCCTGTATATTACGGTCCACTCCAAAGACACGCTGGAAGGTTGATTGGCTCCTCTCTTAGTTGGCCCTCTATATGTGTATGTGAGATGGGGACCTTAGATTGTAAGCTCCTCGTGGGCGGGGACTGATGTGAAGGTGCAACTATGTAAAGTGCTGTGTAAATTGTCGGCGCTCTATAAATACCTGTAATAATAATAATAATATGCTCGGGGTTCAGACCTTCATCCAAGTACTGCTATGTTCCCTCACGTCTGTCATTATTCTGCTGGCCTGTCATGCAGGAGGGAAATTCCCTGACATGCCCCCTGCAGGCTCCATGCAGCCTCATCTGACTTCCAAACTGTCAGTACTGAGGACTATACTACGGCCACCAATCACACGCAGAGTTACCTTGAATGCCTGCATGTGATTGGTGATCGAGGAGCAGAGCGAGAGGAAGGTACGCATGGCTGCAGGACGTAAACCCCCATTGGCCATGCGAGGTGCTCTCTGGATTCTGGCTTAGAGATGTAACATAAGTGGAATTTCTGAACTCAGGCTCATTGCTTACTGGAACGCCGGGCAGCTCCCGCGTTGCTTTCACTCGTTGGCTGGATTTGGTGTTTATAAAATGCCAACCGAGTGACGCGGCCAACGGCGGCAGAGATAGCAACGAAGGAAACGCAGACTGTCTGAACTCACCGCTTTCTTCTGCAGAGCTGATGGAGTCTAACGGCTGTTTACCGGGCGGCCCCCCGGAGCCGAGTCGGGAGGGCGGAGGACCCACTAAGTCGGACATGGAATGGGCAGAGGACAGACGCTGGGGTCCTAGGAGGAAAGGCTTCTTGGGTTTGTCCTTGTGTGGCGGCATTTCATTGCCCTCGGTGAAGCGGTTACCATGGAGCTGGCTTGTGCTGGGAACGATGGCGGAAGAAGTGTCCGACCCGTCCGGCTTCCTCCCCTTCATCTTGTCTTTGAGACGAGCAAAGGGAGAGCGAGTCTTGTCCTTCATGGAGAGGTCGAACATACTGGCCGTCATGTTGTTCCTCATGAACTGGATGTTGACTTTCAGATGTCCTCTGTCTTTGTTCTTCTTGCCTTGCTTGGACTCCATCTTGTACCACCTGCGGGATGCAGAAAGAGAGTGTGAGAAGGAGGGCGGGACGGACCGTCATGTCTACCTGCAGAGCCACTTCAGGGATTCTACGAGGGCTCTGACGTCCCACCACCTTCCTTTTGCATCGGGGTAACAAACACTGGCATACGGTCTGGCATAGAGTCCCGCAGAGGGCCGAGGAAATGGGCGGGTCACTACAACCGCGCATGGGGGCTGCGTTCCATCGGAGGGAATGCTCTATGTATGTCTTTCCTATGCATAATGAATGGACAGCCTTAAAGGAGAAGTACGAGGTCAGGGCTTTCCCCCATAGTTCTCCTTAGGGTAACGGGGGGACACAAACTAGCGTCCTCCCGTCACCCTAGGCTCAGTATATAGGGAGCTACAGCTCGCGGTATACTGAGACGCCGCAGCCGGGACGATTATGTCTGGATCCGCCCAGCTGCGTGAGTGACAGCTGGCTCCTCCTATCTAGAGGCAGAGCCAGCTGTACCCGCCCCCTCCCCCGTCCGTTCCGCCAGTCAGCGCTGGAGGATCGGAGCGGGGAGGGGGGAATCCAGCCCCTCCCCTGTCACGGCAGAGAGCCGTGACAGGATCGAGAGGTGAGCGAAGGCCGGTATGTGTTCGCTCACCTCCCGATCTACTGAGCCGACCTGTGACAGTCTCATTGTCACAGGTCGGCTAGAACTATGAGGAGGAGTGAAAAGCCCCTCCCCCTCATAGTTCTCCTTTAATACAACGCATGTTAATACATGTGTGGCCCTTGAGCTGAACTCCAAACATCCAAATGCACATAATGAAGCTTTTTTTTTTTTTTTTCACCTGACAAAGTGTTTGTATTTCTGACCATCCAGTCCTAGAAATTACACAGCACAGCCAGCCTGGTGACCTGACTTGCAGTGAAGCGACACATCTGGGTCACTACAGCCAGGTTACAATCGGGTCTCCCATTGCCGTTCCCTCCTGAGACTCACCTGCTCCATAGTCAGAGGATGCTTATTGATTAGCTCCAGATCATCCGTCCAGCACACAACCCCCATCCTCATCTCCCAAAGCTGACAAAGGAGCTGAAGGGAGGGTTGCCACCCGCCAGTTGTGAGCTGGGCAGCCCGGTTCTTCTAGTGGAGGGACTCTGATTAGGACCCCCCCAATCTGGTGTTCCGTGGACCCGGAGGAGGCAGGCTTACCTATAGGTGGTATGAGCAGAGGTCACAGAGAGGATGGCGTTGTCACTAGCAGAGGGTGGAGGTGGAATGGCGTTGTCACTAGCAGAAGGTGGAGGTGGAATCTCTGTCGCAGGGGCTTCCATCTCCTCTCTACTATAAAGGGGACCTGCTGGAGGACCGCTGGACAATTTCGCTGCCGGGAACCGCCATCTAATGACAGGTCCGTGTAATGCATGGAGGACGCAGGTTTCCTGGACGCTGTGCTGTCGGGATTTTCCATCTCCCGCATCATTTTATACAGAAATTTCTGCATTGTTAGCGATTTCCCCCCCCCCCCCAAAAAAGATGTGCAGCTGATTACAGCAGCTCTGGGGCCCCTTTTGGTTTTCATCCCCTGCAATGGTACCAGGTTCTGGTTATCTCACCGTGGCGGCTACCTATTCACTTCTAGAATCATCAATGCTTTAGATACATCTGTCCTTTCCACAGATCGCCGATGGAGCAGATCCATCGATCAGGGGAGTGCATTGAACGCCACCCCTCCCCCATAGACATATTAACCATTCGCTGGAATGAGAAGATCCTGACACTGGAATATTTGTATTTTGTGGAGCGGTGGGAGGGG